GGGCCCAGGCTTTTACCTGGCTTCATTTGCTTGACAGCTCGTGAGAGTTCCTCTGCCATAATGTTATGCTCTAGATCTTGGACAATGTCTGTAGGCAAGGCGGAAGGGCTATAGAAGTGAAGAAAATCAGAAATCAGGTTATCTCTGGGTTTATCTGTCTCAGGTGGGCAATGTTCCTGAGGGAGATTATATAGTGTTTTGTAGTATTGCTCAAAGTGGGAAGCTATATCTGCATTGGAAGTAGCCAAAGATCCATCCGAGCCCCTAATCCTGTGAACCGTTAAACTGGATTTTTTCGCCTGGAGGGATCTGGCCAGAAATTTCCTGCTATTGTTTGCAAACTCATAAAAGAGTTTTTGAGACAAAATGAATCTACGTTTAGCTGCCTTACCTAGTTCATGTAGGAGCTGTGTGCGAGTATTCGTAAGATCAGATAAAGTCGAAGCAGCCTGAGTATGTTTATGTGCCTTTTCCAGGAATTTAATGCGGTCAAAAAGTTGTTGTATACGAGATTGTCTCTCTTTCTTGCGTTTTGTGGCCATGGCTATTAAGACACCTCGGATAACACATTTATGTGCCTCCCATTGTGTCAAAGAAGAGGTATCTGGAGTTTGATTGTTTGTAAAGTATTCTGTCAAATGGGAACGGACCTTTGCTTCATTTGCCAATTTGGAAAGAAGAGAGGCATCCAAATGCCATATCTTGGAGCGAGAATGTTTTTCAGGGAAACGTAAAGTCATGGAGATGGGATGATGATCAGATAGGATCATCGGCTTGATGGAAGAATCGTGGAGGAGGGATAGGTCCTCTTGTGAGATAAAGAGGTAATCAATTCTGGAGTATTTGTTGTGTGGAGGGGAGAAAAACGTATAGTCTTTAAGGCTCGGGTGAAGGACTCGCCATGAATCATGACGTTGTAGATCCTGGTGTTGAGTGCAAATCTGTCTGAGGGATTTGTATGGCAGAAAAGAGCTACCCGAGGAAGAGTCCAATTAAGGGCATAAGGGGACATTAAGCTCACCCCCTAGAATAAGGACGCCCGTTTGAAAGGAAGAGAGAGAGGAGGTGATTGAACAGAAAAAAGATACCTGTCTAATGTTGGGCGCATAGAGATTTGCTAAGGTGATGGGCCTATTTGCAAAAGTACCTTTTAGAAACAGGTATCTACCTTCCGGGTCCGAGAGTGACTCCGTGACAGTGAGGGGGAAGTGCTTTGCAATCAAGATGGCAACGCCTTTAGATTTAGCATGAGGGTTAGGGGCATAATATACTGTTGGGAAACGGGAGTTGGAGAGTTTAGGTATAACATCCTGCTGGAAGTAAGTTTCCTGGAGAAATACCACATCTGCTCTATGTTTATAGAGGTGTGTGAATGCAAGAGGGAGCATTTTTCAGGAGTATTCAAACCCTTCACATTAATAGACAGAACTTTCAGTGAGAGATGTCCTGCCAAAGAGTTGGGAGAGGCCATGTCCGAGGGAGTATAGGATACCTAAAAGGGATGGGAAACAAGGAATGAGGAAGGAAAAAAAAGGGGGGGGGGGGGGGGGAGTAAGGAAGTGGAGGGGGGGAGGAAAAAAGAAAGAGAGAAGAAAAGAAGGAAAACAAACGGCAGTGGGGGTAGACCAGCTGACCCACCAAAATATGGAAAAGTAAAATGAGAAAAAAAGGGGCAAAGAGGGAGGGACAGAAGGGGGAATAATAAAAGGAAGGAAATATAAAGAAGAAACCAGGTGGACAGAGACGGCCGGAAAAAGGTCAGTGGGGGCTCACCAAGCTCACTGAGTGGGAACGCGGTGGACTTAAATCCAAAATGAGAGAGTCCGCCAGCCAAAGATCTTAGAAAGTGCAAGGACTGAAGAAGAAGGATGAGCCTAAAATATATATAAAAAAGGATCGGTGCACAACTGCCAGCACCCGACATACCAGGTGAGTCAAGATGCAATGACAGGTTGGGGATTTCAAATGGGTAAGTTGTATGTGTCCAGAGGGAAAGGAGACCATGTGTACCTCATCGAGACATGTAGTGGTGAAAGGAATGCGGGTGTAGGAGTGAAAAGAGGCACATCAAATGGGAATGTCATCACGATGTAGCCCCTAAAATAAAAGTTGGGTATGTAACCGCAAAAATGAAGCATGGAAGGGCCGGAATGCATGTTCGTATCAAAAAGCATGCAGTAGTTTGGGCCAGAAGAAAAGCCTGCAGATCCCTTTGATAGGAGGCAAACCGATCACATTCTCTTTGGGGCTAAAAAAAGAAGTGCAATGTCAAGGATACAACAAGACAGTCAACCATGTAAATAACAACAAACATGAAAAACTGGGAAAATATGGATAACTAGCTATGCTCAACACGCAGTAGATATTAGCTAAAGTATAACCATTTTCAGTTTACTTAGAGATAAGCGTTAGAGTAATGACTTAAGAGAATAAGTAAGAAATATCAGCACTGTTTTAAACTTATAGAAAATGTTAACAATGTATGTATGTGACAACAGGCGCAATCGCAATTGCCTGAGGGTGGAAACTATATTCCAGATGTTTGCAGAAAATATAGAAAATATAGACTGTTGCTTAACCACGGCATCCTGGTGCATAAACAAAGAGACAGAATGTACAGACTGTGGTTTTAGCTACTTAGAGAAAGGTAACCTTTGCCAGGTATCTAGGTAAAAGAGAAAGGTACGCTTTGCTATTGGATAATTTGGGTTTGTGGTTTTTGTCAATGTAAGCTGTGATGTACGTAATAAAAACTTTGCAATCTTGTTGTATCCCACCTGTGTGTTGGTTACCTTGATTGTCCGATCGATCGAGCCCGTGACCCACCCAGACAGCTGCGCAGCACAGGAATAAGGAAAGGTCAGAATCCTTATATAAGAAATATAAGAGAGGTAGGAAAATTAAAACTTATTGTCACTTTCACTTTCTGCCTCTGCTATTTCTCCTTTGTGGACATTCTGACTTCCAATGTTCCCTGCTCCCACACACAAAACATCCCTGATCCTGGGGGTACCCATATTCTCCAGCCTGATTGTAACCAATTGAGTTATTATTGTACCGTGGTGGGTACTGTTGGTTACCCCCTCCTTGTCTATTCCATGGTCTATTATAACTTTGTACTCTCTCTCTGGTTGTCCCTGCTACATCATAACATTGGAATCGGAATATTGTGGAGAGGTTGATTCTTCCTTTCCCTCTAACATTGGGAAAACTCCCCCCTTTGTGGATATATCCTCCCAGTATTTAACATATCCTCCTGGAGAAGTTGAGGCAGATGAAAGCATCTTTAGATGAATGGGAACCAAAGAGGGGATCCACCTTACTCCAATACGTGGACGACCTAATTTTATGCAGTGACGAACAACAAGACTGTGAGGTAGACTCGAGGCACTTGCTAGATTACCTAGCCACAAAGGGCCATCTGGCCTCCAAGAAGAAAATGCAATGGATACAGGAACAGGTGGAATACCTGGGTTGCCTGATTTCAGGAGGAGACAGGTCTGTCTCCCCAGCCAGGGTAAAAGCCCTAACGTCCCTCATACTACCTACAACCAAGGCTGCAATGATGTCCTTCCTTGGGTCAATAGTGTATTTTAGGCAGTGGATACCTGATTGCTCCCACTATAATTTGATCCTCAGGGATACAACAAAACAAGAGGCCCCAAAACAGATAGAATGGACCCCAGAAAGGAAGGAAGCCTTTGGTAGACTGATCGGATCACTGACAAATGCCCCAGCTTTAGCGTTGCCGGATTATGAGAAAGAATTCCAACTTTACAGTGTAGTGTCTGCTGACTCATTTGCCGCTGTGCTCACACAGGAACATGGAGGAAAGAATAGACCAGTGGCTTACCTTTCCAAAAAGTTGCCTTGTGTGGTTTTGGGCCTCATTGCCTTCAAGCGATGGCTGCTTGTGCAATGGCTGTAAAGGATGCAAGTAAACTGACACAGGGATCACCAACCGTACTATAGACTACACATTCAATTATGGTGCTCCTGCAAAATATGACAACGCAACACATGACAGCACAGAGACTGAGTGGATATGAAGTGATTTTACTCAGCATTGCTAACTTACAGATCAAAACCTGTCCAGATACAGCCCCGGTGCTTAGACTGCTACACATGCTGCTAAATTTGAGAGAAACAGGAGGGGACTTGGTGACTATACCCCCTCTACATGACTGTGAGAAAATAGTGTCAGAAACTACTCTACCGAGAGGTGATTTAAAGGACATTCCCCAACCAGGCAATATAGACATCTTTGTTGATGGCAGTTGTGTCAGACCAGACGACCATACCTACCAAACAGGATATGCGGTGGTGATGCTGCCCGATATCATTATCGAAGCAAAACCGCTGCACGCTATTTCAGTGCAACAAGCTGAGTTAGTTGCTCTGACGCGCGCCTGTGAACTTTTCGCTGGCCAAAGAATGAACATATATACTGACAGCAGATACGCTTTCGGGGTGGTACACGATTATGGTATGATTTGGAGGAAAAGGGGTTACCGAGCAGCAGACGGGAAACCCATCCAAAATAAGGCACTGATTGACCAACTAATTTCTGCCATACAGATGCCTGAAATGATCAGTGTCATAAAGGTACCTGGGCATTCTTCAAAACATGATTCATTAGCAAGAGGAAACAATCTAGCTGACAGAGTAGCAAAGGAAGCGGCCGCATCCTCCAAACCAACACACATTGTTTATGCAAGATTTTAAATCACCCGATTTTGAGACGGTGGTACGTTTAACTAGTAACCGACCGCAGATAGCCGAATGACGGCTGCACTGCGGCCGGCCAGTTCTGGGTGGACGTCATATGACGTCCCCCCAGAACGCGCTCTCCTGCGCGCCCCAGGGGGCGCGCACCCGGCGATCTCCGTGATCTCTGTGTCCTACGGACACAGCTGATCACGTGATGTGGTAAAAGGCCGATCCCAGCGGCCTTTTACCATGTGATCAGCGGTGTCCAATGACACGCTGATCACAGGGAAATGCAAGTGCCGGTTCTCGGCTGCACTTTCCTCACGCTGTCAGATCGTGAGGAAAGTACTGCTGAGAACCGGCAGTTGTCAGAGCGGGGATCGGCACCGATCATCAGGGCACTGATGATCAGTGCACTGATGATCGGTGCCCAGCAGTGCCACCCGCAAGTTCCGCCCACCTGTGCCCAGCAGTGCGCCCACTAGCTCCGCCCACCTGTGCCCAGCAGTGCACCCACCTGTGCCCAGCAGTGCACCCACCTGTGCCCAGCAGTGCACCCACCTGTGCCACTCTGCAGTGTCACACACCTGTGCCCAGAAGTGCCACCTACCTGTGTCCAGCAGTGCCACCCACCTGTGCCCACCCACCTGTGCCCACCCACCAGTGCTGCCCACCAGTGCCACCCACCAGTGCAGCCCAGCAGTGCTGCCAGTCAGTGCCACCAGTCAGTGCCCAGGGGTTGTGCCAGTCAGTGCCACCAGTCAGTGCCCAGCAGTGATGCCAGTCAGTGCCATCTATCAGTACCCATCATTAGTGTCACCTATCAGTGCCACCTATCAGTGCTGCATATTAGTGCCATCTATCCGTGACACCTCATTAGTGCTGTCTATCAGTGCCGCCTATCCGTGCCACCTCATTAGTACTGCCTATCAGTGCCCTTTAGTGCTGCCTATCAGTGCCCATCAGTGCCGCCTATCAGTGCCCATCAGTGCTGCCTCATCAACGCACATCAGTGAAGGAGAAAAAATACCTGTTTGAAAAATTTTATAATAGAAAACAAAGAAAAATTTTTTTTTCAAATTTTTTGCAATTTCTTTATTTATAGCGCAAAAAGTAAAGTGCCCAGTGGCGATTAAATACCACCAAAAGAAAGCTATATTTGTGAGAAAAAAATGATCAAAATTTCATATGGGTACAATGTTGCATGACCGCGCAATTGTCAATCAAAGTGCAGCAGCGCTGAAAGCTGAAAATTGGCCTGGTAAGGAAGGGGGTAGAAGTGTCTGGTAGGCAAGTGGTTAATGCAACAACTTTCCTCGGAAACGGACAAGAAACATTGGAAAGACAAGGATTTTGTCAAAATGGAGAAGGGAATATGGGTAAAAGAGGGCAGGATGGGCATTCCGTCAGCCTCAGCGCCCCTTTTACGATCTTACATACATGGCCCAGGACATTTAGGACTACCATATGTTTTGAAACATTACAAGCAGCTTTTTGAAACACATGATATCACAGGCATTGCTGAAATCTTGATAGGGTCCTGCCTGACTTGTGCACAGAATAACATTCAAGGAAAAGCCCACGGCAGACATGGTACACTTCCACCACCTACTGGCCCGTTGCAGTATATACAGATAGATTACACCCACATGCCAAAACAGAAAGGAAAATTTCAAATATCTTCTAGTGATAGTGGATAGGTTTTCAGGGTGGGTAGAGGCAATACCTACCACAGGAGAAACAGCAGCAATAACGGCAAGGGCTCTGGTGAATCATTGAATTAGTAATTTTGGGATACCCAATACTGTTTTTTCAGATCAAGGACCAGCTTTCCATTCCAAATTAATACAAGAATTAACCACGATTTTGGGATTCCAATGGAAATACCCTACCACCCGCAGAGCACAGGGGTGGTAGAGCGCATGAATAGATCAATAAAAGACAGACTTAAGAAAGCTACAGGAGGGACCTTAAAGAACTGGCTGCTATATCTTCCCACAGTTCTTTATCAAATCCGGACCACCCCTAATAAAAAGACCTGGACTTTCCTCATTTGAAATACTGATGGGTAGACCGCCAAATGACTGCCAAACACCGGGTGACAAAACTAACTTTTCTGTCCTACAGGAGGAATACGTAAAACATCTGGTAAGTGTACTGTCTGAAAATCAAGAAAAAGTGTCTGTCACTTTTCCTCCTCTTCCTACAGATCCTACACACCCATTAATTCCGGGTGACAAGCTCCTGGTCAAGCAGCTAGCGGCGAGGAAAAAGACAGGTCCAATCTTCCAAGGTCCATTTGAAGTCCTTAAGATCACCAGAACAGCGGTCCTAACTGACCAAAGTCCACAATGAACCCATGCATCGAGGTTGAAAAGCTACCCGGAGATGAAGGACTTCCCAAGCGGTTCGCCAGAACAAGAGAGCACAGCTTCTTTACCCTCCGACATCCAACCCCAGAACTCTTAAAACTGATACCCCAAGCACAGCATCACGCTTTTATCCACTGAATGAATGGATACCCCACCCCACTGCACCCCAATGACCCAAAGACAATGGTAGAGTTATACATAACCAAAACGGTTAACCGACACATGATCAATCTAATAAATGACCCTTTTATCAGGACATTGAATGAACCGCACCCACTCAGTGCACATTTTCAGTTGAAAATGAAGTTGATTGATGAGAAATGGAAGAACCCTACAGTATATAGACAATTTATGCAGGATATTCCCGAGGAGGAAATGTCTCAGAACAATGGGGATTCCAAAACAGCAGAGGACCCCCATTCTTCTGACCAAGAAAAAGGGAACAGGAAGCCTCATTGTATTCCTAAACATTTCAAGATAGAGCTGGCAATTTATATGTTAATACTAACTTTTGCAATTTTTGTTATGACGATAAGAATCCTATATGTACCTGAGGGTTCAGGTCATCCCCTTAATCCAGGAGGTAGAGTGGTCTATCAAGGTAAACTAGCAACTCGGAAAAGGAGGGCGATCCCTAAGATCCCAATACAATAGCCCGGGGGTGTTGAAAAGTTACTATGAAAAATTTGCCTATGGCCCTGGAGAAAGACATGGTAGCCCACTTTGAACAACTACCACATGGACAGTGTGTCCATGCCCTTGTAGTAATGGTTCGGACTACTAGGGTCAGCACCACGGCCTTTTGCTTAGATCCAAACCTTGACCATTCCACCAAAATGAAGATATTAGCCTTACCTACCAAAACCCATAAAAACGTTCCAATAATCAAACCTGACTTCAAGAAGGCTCAAGCAACAAAATGTAATCTAGGTGTTAACTCAGTCATAGAACCTTGGGTCAGACCACATGGTAATGTGGATCCCCAAAATATGGCAGACAGGGAAAATATACCACATCATTTCTTGCTTATGCATGAATTTGGTAAACAACAAAGTGAAGGAAAAGGGGATTGTTGGGTGTGCTCACACATGCATTCGGGTAAAAATATATTCCCAATGGCGGCCGAACCAATATCCATCACTCAACTACTCCAGGAGGATATGTTAAATACTGGGAGGATATATCCACAAAGGGGGGAGTTTTCCCAATGTTAGAGGGAAAGGAAGAATCAACCTCTCCACAATATTCCGATTCCAATGTTATGATGTAGCAGGGACAACCAGAGAGAGGAGTACAAAGTTATAATAGACCATGGAATAGACAAGGAGGGGGTAACCAACAGTACCCACCACGGTACAATAATAACTCAATTGGTTACAATCAGGCTGGAGAATATGGGTACCCCCAGGATCAGGGATGTTTTGTGTGTGGGAGCAGGGAACATTGGAAGTCAGAATGTCCACAAAGGAGAAATAGCAGAGGCAGAAAGTGAAAGTGACAATAAGTTTTAATTTTCCTACCTCTCTTATATTTCTTATATAAGGATTCCGACCTTTCCTTATTCCTGTGCTGTGCAGCTGTCTGGGTGGGTCACGGGCTCGATCGATCGGACAATCAAGGTAACCAACACACAGGTGGGATACAACAAGATTGCAAAGTTTATTACGTACATCACAGCTTACATTGACAAAAACCACAAACCCAAATTATCCAATAGCAAAGCGTACCTTTCTCTTTTACCTAGATACCTGGCAAAGGTTACCTTTCTCTAAGTAGCTAAAACCACAGTCTGTACAGTTGGCCAAAATTATTCAACCCCCAATGCTGTAAAGGGGTTTAGGGACTATAGTGTACATTTGGAATTGTATTCAGAATCAAATCCTACAAGGACGTTGTAACTACCCAAATGCAACTAAAATGACATCAATTGTTTATGTAATACAGTAGTAAATGGTTCTTATGTGGTTTCTTCATTGCCACAATTATTCAACCCCTTAAAGACTACCACTCTGAAGAACAGAGGTTCATACAGGTGCTTTCCATCAGATATTGAAAACACCTGTGGATGTCACCGAGCAGCAATCAAGCATAATAAGCACCAATTAGGCAGCTTTAAAATGACTGTGATACTCAGCTCCTTCTAGACATTTACTGGTGTGGTTACAAACATGGTGAAGGCAAGAGAATGGTCCAGGAAGACAAGAGAAGAGGTGATTTCTCTTCACAGGAAGGGCAATGGCTATAAGAAGATTGCAAAGATGTTAAACATACCAAGAGACACCTTAGGAAGCATCATTCGCAAATTCAAGGCAAAGGGCACTGTTGAAACGCTACCTGGTCGTGGCAGAAAGAAGATGCTGACTTCGACTGCTGTGCGCTACCTGAAGCGTAGAGTGGAGAGAAGTCCCCGTGTGACTGCTGAGGAACTGAGAAAAGATTTGTCAGATGTGGGTACAGAAGTTTCAGCCCAGACAATAAGACGCACACTGCGTAATGAAGGCCTCCGTGCCAGAACTCCCAGGCGTACCCCCTTGCTGTCTCCAAAGAATAAGAAGAGTCGACTGCAGTATGCCAAAAGCCATGTGGACAAACCACAAAAGTTGTGGGATAGTGTTCTGTGGACTGATGAAACAAAATTAGAACTGTTTGGGCCCATGGATCAACGCTATGTTTGGAGGAGGAAGAACAAGGCCTATGATGAAAAGAACACCTTGCCTACTGTGAAGCATGGTGGAGGGTCAATCATGCTTTGGGGCTGTTTTGCTTCTGCAGGTACAGGGAAGCTTCAGCGTGTGCAAGGTACCATGAATTCTCTTCAGTACCAGGAGATATTGGATGGAAACGTGATGCAGTCCGTCACACACCTGAGGCTTGGGAGACGTTGGACCTTTCAACAGGACAATGATCCCAAGCATACCTCCAAGTCCACTAGAGCATGGTTGCAGAGGAAAGGCTGGAACATTTTGGAGTGGCCATCGCAGTCACCAGACTTAAATCCGATTGAGAACCTCTGGTGGGACTTAAAGAAAGCAGTTGCAGTGCGCAAGCCTAAGAATGTGACTGAACTGGAGGCCTTTGCCCATGAAGAATGGGCGAAGATACCCGTAGATCGCTGCAAGACACTTGTGTCAAGCTATGCTTCACGTTTAAAAGCTGTTATAACTGTAAAAGGATGCTGTACTAAGTACTAAGATTGAATGTCACTTGGGGGTTGAATAAAACTGATAATGCTGTGAGCACAGAAAAGACATTTGTGGTTATTTCATTATAACTGTTATGTTATATTTGTCTGACC